CTTTAGGATTGTTACATGGTACAATGAAAATAATGCATGTATTAAAATTTTCTTCCAAAATATTTCCACTGAAAGGTTAAAAAGGCTGACATTTCTACAGTTTCACATTTCTAAACCAGCTCTCCTCGAATAAATCCTCTTCAGAACATTCTATAGTTCAGCACTATTCTCAAATAGCCTACTCACATGGGGGAGAAAAGCTCCGCCGAAAACAACAAACCAGATCAACCTTAAGGCTCAGTATCCACTTTTCTCCAAAGCAGGTTTATTTCTCCTGAAATTATGCTGAAAATGAAATCCACTTACGAAACGCTCTGGACAGAATGCCTAATACACTCTTAATAACTTTCCCTTCTACTTGGTAAACACTTGGCATCCATATGCTCCATGAGACTAGTACTTCTACCGAGGTCTGCGAAATATTACAAATGAATGTCCTTTCAGGTCAAAAACAAAGTTCCATTCTGCCTCTGCTGGTAGTGAGCAAGCATTCAAAGACAACTTGCACTCCATCGCCTGAGCATGAGGTCTGCGGGGAGTAAGGCTGCACCCACCACACCTACTTTCCAGAGAAGTGGCGTCCCTTTCTAAAATGCAGTGGTTGCAAAAATGCCTCTTAAAAAGGAGAAGGTATGTTAACATCGCATACAAGTTGAAAATACAATTACAATTCTAAATAATAGTGCTCTTAATATCACAGACCACCATAAAGCAAGCCCTTTATTACTGCTGCTGTTGTTTCCAATCTACAAATTGTGTTACCCAGGATGAACTACTTAATTCAAGAACACCAGCTGGATAGAGTCCGTTCAAATAGTTCATAGACACTGAAAATAAATTTTAAGAAAGAAAATTTAAGTTAATTTAAAATTTGGCAACAATTTCTCTTTGTATAACATATGCAGTCTCATCAATTTCAATTTCAGTAACAACTCAAAGTAATGCAAAACATAATTTTAATAGCCATACAGAATTCTAATGTGGTTCTAAATTTTAATTTAATTTCATGAGTTGAATCCAGAAAAACCACATATCACTATCTTTTCTGAACACGATATTCACAAGAGTCAAAAAGCATTTTACAAGAGCACCAACCATCGATATCTTTGCCACACCTTTCACAGAAACTACGCCAGGTTCTTGGGGGGAGGGGTCCAGGGGTGGGGACAGCTAGGGAACCCCCTGAGGTTTACCATTAGTAAAGATCTGCCCCCTCAGGATTTCGTAAATGTCTTTAAGGGACAAGGATACAATATACCTCAAAGGAAAGCAGGAAAAGCAAAGTATGTCACAGACTAATTTAAAGAAAGACTGAAAATTAAAAACAAAAACACGATAACCCAGCCAATTGAGGGAAGTTAGTAATGGGGGGGGGGTAGCAAGGCTGCCAAAGGCCACTCATCCTAGAGGCGGGGGCGTGCTCCCCTGGTGCTAACATTAGTCACTGGCGCATGCCCCGAGTTTCCTCGCTGGCATCATGCCTACCGATCAATCTCCTAATTACACTCTGGCTTTCTACAGGGGTGGAAAGAGTCAAGCAGGGGCTGAATGAAGCACAGGACCTGGGCCTTGCTCACCTTATCCTGCAAGGAAAATGCCAGATGACAGAGACCCACAGCACTCACTGGCCAGACTTCTTTCCTGACATCTCTCCTATTTTCCCTCTAAAGAAACAATTTCCAATGACTTGCTGATTGGCAACGTGAAAGTGTCTTTAAAAAAGAATACATAGCACCTGGTGAAATGAGAAGGCGTAGGCAACAGAACGCTATGAGTAAAGAGATAATCATTGAAGAATGAGGAATTAAGTAACAGGAAGTTATTAAGGCAGATGTATCCAGGAAGCAGTCAGGACCTCAGATCCCCATAATTCAGGAGAGCTCAGAACAAGATTTACAAGACACCGAGAGAACACATGTGAAGGAAGTAGGAGCAATTTCTAACAATGTGACAACTAAAGGGCACCGCAAAGTCCTTCTTGAGGGACAAGCCGTCCCCACTTCAGAATACGAGGGTGCTTCCGCCGCCCTGTCACTGCTGCTTCCCGGTCACCGCTCCTCGGCCTACAGCCCCCATGGCATCTGCCCTGCGATGGCCCTGGGCCTCACCCACCACCGACGAACGCGGGAGTCTGCAGCCACACCACAAGGTGCACTTCCCTAGGGAGAGCAGGTGACATCTGGTGCCCGGACTGACACAAGCAGGCTCAAAAGGGACAGTCAAGTCGACAGAAAGATCAAACCGTCTCGGAGTGACAGGAGACTAAGGGTGGTGAAACCCGGGATTTTCGAGTGAACTTACAAGAACTGTATTATATAGAATAAATAAAGTCACTGGTTTAAAAAAAGTTATTTTTATGTTCACATAACATATTTCACAAGGTCAATAAATTAGAACAATGGGGCTATTTTTAACATAAATATTTTAAATGAAATGTTCCAGTAGATAGCAGTCTTGTATCAGCCTTCATATCCAAGTGCAAATTCAAGAAATCAGAAAAATAAGTTCTTCCGAAGTAGTTTTAATAGCTCCCCTTGCAATCTCAGGATGTCCTACAATGGACCCAGAAACTTGAAAAAGAAAATATAAGGAATATTTATTTGTAAGCTAAATCACAACAAGAACGGCTGCTATCCTTATCACGGATCTTTTATCAAAAATGCCAAGAAGTATCCATGGCTGACAATAAGCAGAAACGCTGTGCTGGAGCACTATCGCCTCTCAACCTGTTTTGTGTTCCTCGGTCATTGCATAACACTCACGCCAGCAGGCACGGAGCAGATGTTCTGCGCTGGCACCTGCCACAGCAGCTCAGGGGCCAACAAGTGCAGGCCTGCATTCTACAAAAACTGTGCATTAGGACAGCCTTCCTGATCGATGGCGCGTCGGCAGAAAGTACATGAACGGAGATGGCAGGCGGAGCTTTATTTTCCATCTATCCCCAAACCAATCAACCTGGTAGCACAAACACGTTATTAGTCTCCAATGTGTTAAAACACAGCATCTGGCACATCTTGAACGGGCAAGTTGAGCTTTTTAAAAATAGTTAAAAACATAAATGGGAGAAACCCACATAAACAGATGCCGAACCCCTGAAGCACCCTTTACTAACGACCCACAGTGAGTCTGTCAGAGGTCAGCCCTGTGTATTGAAGAGGTGCTGGTGACAATGAGGGCGCATGAGAGAGAAAACAACAGCTTGGCCAAGTCATCTGTTTTACAGATTAGCTATCATATAATTAACTGCAATGTTGCTAAGAAAAATATTTCTAAGATCTTCTTGTTCTGTACACTGCTGTTCACTTCAAGTTGGATGTAGCCCATTACCCCGACCTATTTTTATTATAACAAAGACAGAAACCTCGCTGAAAAAAATCCAGGTTTCTTTTGGCCACTGGAGAAACAGTCATTTTTTATGGCACAGTCCCACCTCCCTCTGCCCCTCTCACTTTTACCTAAAAATGCTCACATCCATTTTATCCCAGGGAATAGTTACCCAGAATCATACGTTCTGATTTGCCCATTTGGGGAGTGAAATCACGCCTCTCCTGGGTGAGAGGCATGGAATATGCCCCCTGGCCCGAGTTCACTGCTGGCTGTGAACCCTTGGGCCGGACACTCAGCCCCTGCGCCTCAGCTTCCTCGTCTGTAACAGAGACATAATTACATGACCTACCTCATACGGCTGTTATAAGGGTGAGATGGGTCAGGAAAAGAAAGTGGCGTATTTTAAGCATTTAAAAGTATTCATTATTATTTTTAAAGAAAAACTTAAGGAAGTCAAAATGGTCAAAGACTGCATTCGCTAACAAATGTATTTAATAAACTTCCTGACAAAATTTCTACCAATGTCAGATGTATTTGAAAGGAACAAAAAGAATTTCCATTCCACCATGTGCCACTGTTTAGATAAGCTGGTCCTTAAAAGGTCACTGAAGTGTCTCAGAAGTGTCTTAGAATTAAGGAAAATAATTCTTCAACAGCCTATAAAAATACTGGGTCACGAAAGCAAGAAAGTGATTCCTGTCTTCTTGTGTAACTACAGCTTCGGAATGTGTTTAAAATTTCTTGCAGCAGGAAAAAGAAAGAGAACACCTAGCTGCCTGATTCCTGGACTGCCGAGCAGGGCAGCAAGAGGCCGGGGAGCTGCGGCAGCGTCGTCACCACGGGGCCAGGGGGCAGCAGTCTGCAAGTTCACTGGGGATGCGAAGGACGGGTAAGAGGACATCTGAACACACAAACACAGGCACAGAAGAAGAGGGGCATTCTCAGTGCAGGAGTTTGAGCTCCCAAATTAAAAAGAAAAGAAAAGAAAAGAAAAGAAAAGGACATAGAGCTAATTAATAGCATGCCTAAGGAAGAGAATGCAACAAATACTTCAGGTGCCAAAGTTCCATCTTAAAGCTTCCCGCGGTAGCAAAGTTTTAGACAAATCAAGCCTTTACTTTTGTGCACGTGTGAGCCACGATCTGCACAATGCTTCCACTGAAGGCCGGCCAAGTGTCCTCGGAGAGAACCCCACCTGCCTGTGTGCAGACTCCAAGGGGGTGGGCTGGAGGGCAGGAGAGCCCCGCGGGGAGAGAGCCAGTGCGCATCGGCTTCACAGGCGTCCACTTCTCGACTCGGAAAGGGGCGGAGGGGGAGCGTTTGGGTTCAGCACGGATGCGAGCGATTTCGGCGCGGCCCCGGCTCAGAAACCCGCGGCCGGGGACGGGTCCTGGTGCCCACAGGACCGCGCGGCCCGCCTCGCTCCCCACGAGCTGGAGCGCTGCAGAGAAGGCCCCCGGGCTGGGCGCTCGGGCGGGGGTCGCTGGGCAGCCCGGGCCGCCGCGCCCCGGGTCCCAGCGCGGCACCCCGCCCCTCGGCCCGGCCCCGGAGCCTGGATGCTGCCCTGGCCACCTGGCGGGAAGCAGAGGCCCCCACGCCCCCTCGGCCTCCGACCGAGCTCGGCCCGAGACGAGCCCCCGCTTCGCCCCGGGGCTGGCGGCGGCCGCACTCACCTCGCCGCGCAGCAGCGCTCGGGCTCCGGCTCGGGCTCGGGTTCCGGCGGCGGCGGCGGCTCCTCCATGGCGGCGGCGGGGTTGACGGCGAAGGCGGGCGGGGCAACCAGTGCGGCGGCGGCTTCTCTCATCCGTGCGCGGAGCCCCGCATGGCCGTGGCGGGCAGGGAGCTGCAGCCTGGCGCGAGGGCCGGGGCCCTGAGTGCGGGGGTGACGCGCTCCGCCTCCGCCCCTAGCCCGCCGCAGGGGCCGCTCGCGCCGCGGCCATCTTGGGAACGGCGACCGGCCCGCGCCGGGCTACGGCGGGCGGCGAGGGACAAGCCTCCCCGGGCGGCGGCGGCGGCGGCGGCGGGCGTCGGGGTGGACGAGCGGGGGAGCCAGCGAGGGAGGGGCGGAGAGAGCGGCCTCCGGTGGCCGGCGGCGGGGCTCGCCCCGGCCTGTGGTCTCGCCCCCGCGAGTGCGCCACGGGCTGTGCGCGCGGGACCCCAGGTGGCGGCGTGGGGCGTGCGCGGAGAACACCGGGCGCGCCGGCGCGGCCGCAGGGAGGCGGCGATAGATGACTTTTAAGTGCTTTGTAAACTTCAGCAAGTGGATCGCCGCCAAGGGTGATGCCATCCTCAGAAATAGGGTTCGGTAGAACGCGGGCACTCACGGCTCCCACGCGGGCCAGGAGGCTTTGAGGGACCTGTGAGTCCTGGGGCTGGGGGTCCACTCTGATGCAAGCGCACCCTTAACCATGCACGGAAAACTCAGTTGTTTGACGCTGTTGAAACAAAGATTCTGGAAACGCCCAACATGAAAGTTACCCTCTTATTAAGAGGGCAGAAAAGAGCAGTGATGTAACCTCGGTGTCACAGGTGGGGGGCGTCGATCCTCCAGGAGCTCGTGCCGGAAGCGCTCCTGCACGGGAGGGGGGGAACGCAGTTCTAAAGACGATTTCATAAAGCACGTGTCCGCGCACACGCACACGAAGATATGATGTTAGACACTGCAAATACTGTATCATGTTCTCTTAGCACTTGCTCTTCACAGTGTCAAGTTGCAAATACTTATGAAATTTTCCATGGAGTAAAGTCCAGGGTTCATTCAAGAAGAGCATCATTTAAAATTAAAAAACACATCTATTCATTCAAATGTGCTGGTTTTTAAAACCTCATTCGGTGGAGCTTGAATATATAAAATACACGTTTTGAACGAATGTTAGTAAGAAAACTGGCCAAAATAGAAAACCCGAAATATGATTATATTTAAAGGCCCGTTGTAAAATTAGCCATGTTGCACTCCAGGAACATTGCAGAAGCTTCTCTGTAGTTTAAGAACTTCTTCAATCTATTTTCTCTGCCATGATAGTCCATATTATGTATTTGGCATGATAGTGCTGAATTTCAGAATGGACATTTTATTTTTTCAACAACATTCATCCATGGATACTTACCAAATTTGTGCCAGACTAAGTCTGTGGCTAGTAGAGCTAGCATCCTACTTCAGCAAGAGAGAGAAAGCAGGTAAATTTATGGCATATCAGACTGGAAAGGAGTGGGAGAGGCAATGCTATTTTACATAATTGGTGAGATACAGTTAAATGATTTGATCATACAAATCACTCCCAAAAAAATGTAATAAAGGAATACTTACTGAATTTCACATTTTCTTTACAAATAGTTGCCTGACCCAATTATTTAACTTATCCTCACTACCAGACGCTTAAGTGTTTTAATGTTTTGGATAAGTTATGGTTCACAAATAACCCCCGAGCCACTGCAAGCCTGGGGTCCGGCCTCCGCTCTGCAGGCTTGCAAATCTGTGATACTCGATATGTAGCCAGCATCTGGGAGACGAGGGGCTTGTTGTTGTCCACTTGAGGGTACTGTCCATTTTGAAAGGAACCAAACAAATTTACTTTTAACTAATCGGGTAAGGCACCATGTGTGGAAACCTCCATTAACTAGTAGTACTAAATACCAGTTCACATCCAGGGAACTTTTTCTTCATTCAGGTTAATTCTGTGTCCTGCATCAACCTGTTGCTTTTATTTGTGTTCTCCTCCTATCCTGGGCCACTTCATTTCAGCAATTCCGTGTTTCAGATTTCAAGACCTGAACGCGTGCTCTCCTCCCCCATGCTAACCGCACTGCCGCCCGCTTGTGTTCTCGGACTCGGTGAGCTGCGGCCCCCTTTACCCAGTCGGAACTCTCCGAACAGCCATTCCCTCAGCCCCTGAGCAATTCCCGGATGGGCCCATAATCCTGGCCAATTCCACCTCCTCTGGAATCCAGCCACTTCCTCCATCCCCCCTCACTCAGGCGGCCACAGGTCTGCCTAGACGCTGCGCCCGCCCCCGGGCTCTCTGCCTCTGCCTGCGTGCTCGCTCCCTGACCCTGTCTGCTGTCACACTACAGTCCCAATGACCTGCCTGCGCCTCCCTCGACACTTGTCGCCGGTCACAATAACCTGCCTGCACCTCCATGGAAACTTGTCTCTTTCATACCTAATTCATTTGATTGATGTCTCACGGCGGTCAGGATCAAGTCCTTAACAGACTCGGAGTTTTTCGAATGCTGCACACCTGGTCCTGCCCCTTGGGTTGAGAGGAAGGAGCCCCGTCCGCAGCAGCCGGCCCGGTGGAGGCAGGCCTGCGGCTCAGGAGGCCTTGGCCCACCTGGTGGGGGGGAGGGGTGCCCAAGCAGGAGTGAGATGGGGCCTTCTGGCACCCACTGCGATGACAGCTTAAAAGTAGTTCTTCAAACGGATAAGCTGATTTGATAAAAACTATAAGCTACGTACATCACTGACATGTCAGACATCAGGGCACCCTTAGCATCCCATCAAGGCCAGTGCAGTGGCAAAAAGTCAATTCTATGAATTTTTTTGCAAGATGATTCGAAAAGAATGTGCTACACTATGCTGTCAATAGGGTTATATCTTTGTTATTTAAAACACAAAGGCTGTAGGTTTTAAATTATGAGCATGGTGCTGGTGTGCTAGGCTACTTTCTCCCCTCCAGTGGGAAGGCTCAGACAAAGGCCTCACCAGCCCCACCCTCCCCTCCAAGGCTCCTGGCCGAGGGTCCCAGCTCTGCAGAGGCAGGAAGACAAGAGTGCAAGCATCCAGCCTGCTCCCGGCGCTGGGGTGACAGTGACGGAACCATTGCAGTCCGATGCACAGGAGATCGCCTCGGTGGGAGAGCGATGCAGCCTCCCTCCTAGTAAGGAGAACCTAAGCTGAGGTTACACGCCTTGATTTCCTCTGTCCCAATGAGAGACAATGATACCTATTTCTGCCTCCTAATAAAACACACAAAAAATGGATACATACAAACAGTCGGTGACCACACTTTTTAAAATTGTTGACATTCTTACAGATGTCCCCCAGTGCCGACACCCCCTCCTTTCCCCATGTCCACCCCACCCCTCATGTCGCCACATTGTCATCCATGTCATGTCATGGGCTCTGCATATATGTTCTTTGGCTAATCTCTTCCAGTCCCCCTTGCCCTCTCCTCCCTTTTTAAAAGTGAGGACACTTTTTAAATAGTCCTCATAACATTTAAGTTTCATCCTCCTCCCTTGAGTAGTGGGAAGTTACAGAAAATTTCCCCCGTTCTTTCCTGAAAGGTAATCTGCCTCCTTCCGTTAATTCTCCGCCAGGGTACAAATCACCCACTTCAGAGACCTTCTCCTCTGTGGAAACAAAGGGTCTGAAATGAGCCCCTGAGGGCTCCGAATCATGTAGCAAAGGATCAAAAGTTACTGTTTCTTTCATAATGGTTAGAATAATGTGCATGAAACTAATAGCAGGGGAGGCCAGGGATGGCACTAGGTGAGGAGCGCGGCCGGGCCGCCAGCAGAAGTCCACCTGTGGCTGACGAGCCTCCTCTGTTTCCTCCTCCAAGTACAGGCGGAGGCCGCTCCCTTCTCCCCGCTCGGATCTCAGCGCCCCTCCGGGACCCTGCCCCCGAGAGCAGCAGCTGGCTTTAAAAAAAGGAATCCCTGGGGGAGCCCGCTCTTCTTGCCAGCCAAACACGTCCATCATTCCTCACCGAAAAATCCACAGAACGTGCCTGGATCGCATCCTTTCGTTTCTCTTTCAGACGTCCAGGTGCAAGTTTAGAGAACTGGGAAACCGCACGTTGCAGCTCCTGAATTGTTTTCACATCCTTCCAAGTCAGTCAGCGCCTGCTTGGTCCACCACACGGAACCAGGCACAGGGAACCGATGACTAACCCTGCGAGAACCTCCTCGCCCCGGGCCAGGGGCTCCTGCTCTTTGCTCCCACATGATAAAGTCGCTCCTCCTTCTAGAAGCAGCTCAGGGGGCTCCCGCCCCACTCCCGGAAGACTTCTCTGAGCTTCACCGCCAGCCTGCCCCAATCCGACAGCAGGTGCTCTCTTTGACATCCCCATAACACCCTGGCCAAGCCCTTCAGCGCCATCCTCCACCTACCTATCTTCGTCTAGATACTTGGTTGGTTACATGTGTGCTCCTTGCTCTGTGACCTTCTCGAGAGCAGTCAGTATTTCTTCCTATCACGACATCTTCAGCACCTAGACTAACACCCTGGACATAGCACATGTTCAGTAACATACCTGTTGAAAAAAGGAACTCAATGAATATTTGAATATATGGATGGATGGATGGATGGATAGATGGATGGATCTAATTGAGGGAATAAGCCTAAGATAAATTACTGTAATACAAGTAGATTCTAAGAAGCATCAGGAGGGAGATTTTTTTTTTAAAGATTTTATTTATTTTTAGAGAGAGGGGAAGGGAGGGAGAAAGAGAGGGAAAGAAATATCAATGTGTGGTTGCCTTTCACATGCCTCCTGCTGGGGACCTGACCTGCAGCCCAAGCCTGTGCCCTGAATGGGAATTGAACCGGCAACCCTTTGGTTCGCAGGCAGGCACTCAATCCACTGAGCCATCCCAGCCAGGATTTGAGGGAGATTTTTTTTTTTAATGCAATAGGTGCGCTAAAGAGTCAGATGACCAAGATGAACACTAGTAAGAAAGAAAACCTACGTACAAAAATTGACATTCAGGATGAGGGGTGAAAGCAATGTTAACTCATGTTATGTGACGCTTTCAGCCACAAAACATATCAGGAAGAACAGAATTAACCTGGATTCTTGCACTGACAGTGGGGAATCTTAATGACCCTTTGGCTGTTTTTGTATATGCACTTGCACACTAACAAATAAAATGCTCTTACAGTATTCTGGTTGAAGTAAGAGAGCAGCGGTCATGGATAAAGATTGAAATGGAGATTAAAACACTGCTTTTTAT